GATGTGAATGTCCCCCCCACCAGACCTCCCTCCTCCTAAAGTTCCTCCACCCCCCTAAATCTAACCCACTACTGAGATGAGGCCCAGAATTGTGAGAAGGCATAGGGCCTACAGACTGTAGAATTTGAGGCTCCTGTCCATGCCTGTTGAAGCGATGAACTTGGCGTGGTGCCCAAAGGCCACTCCAGTGGTCAGGCCACTATGCTCTGTAAAGTGAAGAATCTCTGTCCACTGTTTGCAGATGTAGATCTGGACATCTGTACCCCCAAGAGCCAGGTAGGTTCCACTCTGGTCAAAGATCAGTGACTTCACCTCAAAGTTGTTGTCCAGCTGCAATGTCTTGAAGTTCTTCAGCTTGCGTAAGTCCCAGAGCTTGACTGAAGAGTCATCAGCTGCTGTGGCCAGGTAGTACCCATTCTCAGAGAAGGCGATGCTGGTAATGGGGCCAGAGTGGCCAGGAAAGTTGGCCACATTGGTACGCTCCTTCAAGTCCCAGATCTTGATCTGGGAGTCCATGGTTCCTGTTCCAAAGATGAGTCCATCAGGGTGGAACTGTGCACAGGTAAGAGAGCAGCCGGATGTCTCATCTGTCACCTTGGTGAGCACACGCCCTGTCTGGATGTCAGAGAAGGCCCAGTACTGATCATCAGAGGAGCTCAGGAGATAGTCTCCAGTAGCATGGAGGCTGAGGCCTGTCACTGCGCTCTCATGGGCCCGAACAACCTGTACACAAGAGGTGTTTGGGACCGACCAAATCCTGATAGTGGCATCTGGGGATGCAGAAAACACCAGTTCTTGAGAAGGATGAAACACCACGCTGGTGACCTTCTTGGTATGGCCTTTGAGAGTGGCCAGGATTTGCTCAATACTCTTATCAAAGACAACAACGTTTTTGTCTGCTCCACCAGTGAGAATCTTGTTGGTGTCTGAAGGACAGAGGTCCAGAGCAAGGATCCCAGGAATGCTAGCACTGTGTAGCCCCACATGGGATGCCACCTGCCGGTACTTGCTGAGATCTTCAGGTTTCACTAGCTCCTCAGGCACAGTCTTTCCTCTCTTCTTACGCTCCGTGGTTAGCACAGTAGCCTTGTCTTGAAGCTTCTGGATAATCTCAGGGGTCATTCCCACCAGCTCACCCAAATCCATGGGTTCTCCTGCACCCACAACACTGGGCTGTGAGCTTGGCACTGCCTGAGGTACAATAAGACCAGCCTGTGGTTTCAGAGTAGCCAGAGCTTCTCGAGCAGCAATGACTTCCTTGGTGAGATGGGCAATGACTCTGCAGGCAGCATCGTGTTGGTACAGAGCATGCGACAGCTCCTGGCGGGTTGTCTGCAGCTGCTGGCGAAGGGTGAAGCTGTGCAACATGACGGCATCCCACTCATCCTGCAAGGCTTTCAGAATGGCTGGGATGCTGGTGGCAGAGGGAGGCTTGGGCCGGATTGGGTGAGCAACTTTGATGTCGATGAGCTGCTCCTCAGAGAGAGGCTGGTTGTTGATAGGATCTGTCCCATTCTCTGCAATGTACTTCTCAATGAGTCACCGCTCATACACATGATTAGAGACAGGGGACACGCATGGATGCTCTGGCACTTCGTTGGAGATCGAGCAGATCAGGGACATGGCGCCGTCGCAGCGCTGCCAGTCGCCTCGCAGCGGACTCCCAGACTGATAGAACATCTTTTAATTAAAAGTTTTCACTTAGTACAGGAAATAATGAATTTCAATATGACATTTCAATACACACATATCATTGTAGTTTGTTCATGTTCTTCTGTACTCTTTCCTTTTTCTACTAGTCCCCCTTCTCTCCCAAAATAATTAACCTCTCTCTTTTATGTCTTGTGTGTGTGTGTGTGACATGTCAAAATTCCTTTATCCATTCATCTGTTGATTAACACCTAGGATGATGCCATAACTTGGCCATTGTGAATACTGCCACAAAAGAAACAGGGGCTCCATTGTCTCGCTGTAACTGGCTGGCTCAGATTCCCTTGCAGCTATTCGGAGCAGTCCTGCAACTACATCATGTGACAGTTCTATCATCAGTGCTTTGAGGAACCTGCACTGTGATTTTCCACAGTGGCTGGATTGACATCTCCACCAGGTTTCATTTTCTCACATTCTTGGCAGCATGTGATGCTACTGCTTTGTTTTTGGTGGCCATATCGACTGCAGTGAGATGAAATGTGAATGTAGTTTGACCTTGCAGACCTGCCGCTGTCTAAGGATGTTGAACATTTTCCCTACCTTTCTCAGCCATATTTGCCTTTCTTCTTCTAAGAATCATTTGTTTAGTTCATTGGTCAATGGATTGATTGGATAATTTGGATATTGATATTGGAGTTGTTCCTATATTATGTATATTAATTCAGTGTCAGGTATAGAGCTAGCAAGAAATTCATTCTTTCTGTATGTGGTGTCTCCACTCTGCTGCCTATTCCCTTTGCTGTTTTATAAAACCCAATCTGTCAGTTGTGCCTCCTGAGCACTTGGAGCTCTTGTCAGAATGTCCTTGCCACACGTTGCCTCTATCGTGACATGTTCTCCCCATTTCAGGCCAGCAGTTTCAAACTTGAAAGCCTTCCATTAAGGTCATTGCTGCAGACCTAATTGACTTCTGTACAATTAGGTGAGAGATAGTGACTTAGACTAATTCTTCTTCAGGAGAACATACAGTTTTCTCAGCACCATTTGGTGAAAATGTGGTGCTTTCTGTGGTGTGAGGTTTTGGCACCTTTGTCAAAAGTGAGGTCAAATGATAATCTGCGATTCCAGAACTTGGGAGATAGTGGCAGGAGCATCAGTAGTTCAAGGCAAGACCATCCTGAGCTGCAAGGGATCCTGTCTCAGACACACATGCCAACCTGTAACTGTGTGGATTTACTGAGTCGCTTTTCTATTCCTTTGTCTTTGTCTCTGTTTTGGTGCTGGTAGCATGCTGTTTTTGTCTCTATGGTTCTGTAGTGTGACAAATTAGGGCATTGCCATGCTTAGGATAGCTTTGGTTATGTGTGATGTTTTGTGTCTCTGTGTAAATTTTGGAAGATCTTTAGGAATTCTGAAAAGAATAACATTTTTATTCTGATATGGATCGCACTGAAACTGTCAATTGCTTTTGGTAAAATCACCATTTTCACAATATTAATTTTGCTAATTCATATCAGAAAGTCATTCTTCAAATTGTTTCTTTGGTCTGTTAAATCTTTTATTATTTATGAAAATTTATTTTATGTGCTTTGGTGTAAAGGTGTCAGAGCCTCTGGAACTGGACATTTGTGAGCTGCCATGTGGGTGCTAGAAATTGGAGCCAGACCCTCCAGCAGAGCAGGGAGTGCTCTATTGCCAAGCCATCTCTCCAGGCCCAGTGTTTTACATTTTTAGTTTTGTATTTGTTTGGTTTTTATTGCTTTATAAATAATATCATTCAAAATTTCCACTTCCTCCCATCCTCCCACTCCTCTACTCACCCACTCCCCTCCCCCTCCTATAACAATTGCTAAATGTTGTTTTACATTTTTAATTGTAGGGCTAGAGAGATGGCTGAGCAGGTAATGGCATATGCTCCTAAGTCTGAAAAGCACCATTCAGTTCCTGGGAGCTATTTGGTTGGAGTTTTCCTTGGACCTCTACACAACTACAGTGGTAAGTGAATGTGTATACACACACAAAGAAAGAAGTGAATGTGTACACATACACACACACACACACACACACACAAAGAAAGAAATGGAAAATATAATAAAATTTTAATTGCACGTGTCTTCTTTTTGTTTTTTCAAGACAGGGTTTCTATGTATAGCTTTGGAGTCTGTCCTAGAACTCATTCTCTAGAGGAGGCTGGCCTCAATCTCAAAGAGATCTGCCTGCCTCTGCCTTCAAGAGTGCTGGGATTAAAGGCATGTGCCACCACCGCCCAGCTTCATTATAATTTCAGGTGCCTCTAATAAACTTTTAGCTTAAAAGTTAGGTTTATTCCTAGGCAGTTAATTTTTGACTTACTTTGTCTAATTATGTATAATTATGTGTTTTTGTGTATAGCTGTGTGTATGTGAGTGCCCTCAATGAACAGAAGATAGCACTGAATCTCAGGGAACTTGAAACGGAGGAAATTGTCAGCTGCCCAAATTCTAGTTCTCTGGAAGAGAAGCATGGTCTCTTATCAGTAGGCCATCTCTCTAGTCCAATCTCCTAGGTATTACTATTTTTGCAATTGCTAAAGGAATTGTTTTATTTCTCTCTCAGTAAGCTCAGTATTTATATAGAGAAAAATATAATTCTATAGGTTTATTTGGTATTCTGCTACTGTGCTGAAAATGCTTATGAGATCTAGTACTCCTTTGGATCTTTCAAGTACAGAATCTGAGAGGTAATTTGTCTACTTCTGTTTTCTTTTGGCTTCTGTCTCTTGTCTTATTGCTTTGACTAAGATTTCAGCACTGAACTGAATAAGAGTGAAGAAAGTGGACTTTTCACCTTCTTATTCAAAATGAAATGATTTCAGTTTCCTCCCATTTGGTACAATGCTGGTGACAAGGTTGACATACATGGTCTTCATTATGTTTCTGTGGTTGATCTTTCTTGCCAACATAAGTGGATTTGGGCCAGTCGAGTAGCACATTTCTAGAGAGACAGCTCTCAGGAAATAGGCCCGGGGAATGCTAGCGGCACCAGTCAATGAGCTGGGCTCCCAGAGTGAGCAAAGGGGACAAAAGGAAAAAGCAAAGTGAGCAGAGCATCATCATTCTCTGCCTTGTCGCCACTGGCACAGTGTAAAGAGCTGTCTCAACAGCCTGCCACAAGAGCTGGAGCCACTGTCACTATCATGCTATCACAATATGACAGGCTGTATTTGCTCCAAAGCCTGCATAAAATATACCCTTGGCTTCTGAAGGTATTTTGGTCTGGTATTTTGTCAGGAAAATGAGAAATGAAATAAGTCCAGAACCTTGGTACCAGGGTTGGAATCATTATTGTTATAAATGGGACCTTGCAGTCCATAGGCCTTAGGAATGAGGTCACGGGAGAAATGTAGAAGAGTTCCGAGTTGTTGGCTAGAGAAGTCCTCAAACACTGTACAGCTTAATGGGTGGGACATGGGAAGACCAAAATGCAATAGAAATGTAGACAGTGAAGTCTGTGCTCATGAGGTTCCAAGGGGGAACAAGGACTCTACTGGGAACTAGGTTAGATGCCATTTGTCTTATATCCTCTCAGAGAATCTGGCTGCATTCTGTCTATACCCTGAGGAGCTGCAGGAAACTGAAATCAGAAGTGATAGACTAAGTCTGGCATAGGAAACCTCAAAACATCATACTAATTCCTCTGATCAACTAATCTTTACATCACCTTTGTGAGTTGATGGGCGAGGCTGATCTGAAGCTGTAATTAACCAAACCAACTTAAAATAATATTAAGCTTTAATAAACAGAAGAAAGGAAACTTATAAAACTAGGGTGCCAGCGATTCAGGAGAACAGGAACACAAAGAGAGTGAGCTCGAGCACATAGATGCTTTTATTGGCTATCTGTGGCCCTACGGGACACACTAAGCAACATGTGATTGGCTGAAGTCCCCCATTATCTCCCCCTTTCTCTAATCAAGATCGAACTAAACCCAATACAACTATATACAGTAGGAACAGATACCAAATATAAAATTACAAATAACAAACAATATTAAGCAAAAAAAAAAAACATATAACAAAAGTTTTGCTAAGCATTCTATTTCAAGGAGTCTAAAACACTCTGCTTCCCCAGCCTTAGGGCTATGCAGGTGCTCCCATGTTCCATCTTCTCCAGAGTTTATGTTTCAGGCTCTGCCTACTTACCAAGTTGATGAGAGCCCCCTGAACACTTTGAATAGTGGGGAAGGGGAACAAAGACAGGACTGAGATCTGAGCAGGAGTCTCAGGCTCTGTGTTTTCATAAGTCACCCCTAAGTGAACGCTCTGTGGGAGGAAGGGGGCTGATGTTTCTGTTTTCCATCCTGCCAGTAGTGAAATGCATGGCAGAAAGGTACCTCTAGAAGTCAAACTTCCTGCCAACCTCGGGTGACAGTAACAGTTGCTTACATTTACAGGGAGGGCTGGTCTAGAAACCACCATTCCCCTTAGCACCCTAATCAGATGCCAACCCAAAAGGGTCAGCATGTCCATATCTGCTTTCCCATTCTCTGTAATAGTGCCTATAGCTATCTCCCACTCAAGGGCTGTAGCAGGGTGTCTTCAGGCTCCCTGACTTAATCCTTGTTCTCATGACACCAGAGTAGCGAAGGCCAACCCCTTGGTTCCTTCTCATGATGGCACCTAGCCACTGTGATTGGGGAAGGGCACAATGAACATCTTGTGCGATGCCAACCTATCATGAAGCAGTCACTGTCTCATTAAATTCCCCAGCGTGATGCCAGCCTTGCAAGAAGAGTGGGTTTGTCCTACAAATACGACTACCAGTCACTCTTCACCAGGCCCACCTGGTACGCTTTGGCTGAATCATCTGCTTTCTAAATAGGACTTCTTGAGTCCTGTGGAGTAGCTGAGAAAGGGAACCCGAACTACATTCAATAGGTAATTTGGGGTGACTTTAAGAAACGGTATCTTGAGTGGATTTCTGTCACTGCTAGGTAACAATGGGGAAGATAATGGTTGCTTGAGCTACGTCTCAGAATGGCCAGGCTCTGGGCTAGAGCCGGGTCACTCCCATGCATTCTGAGGCAGGCTAGAGAGCAGGAGGCAGGCACTCGGCAGAGCTTAGGCGGCCTCATGGGCAGTGGAGGGGGCAGAGCCCATCCAGTCCCCTCCTGGCCAGACCACCGAAGCCTAGCGAAGAAAACTGAAGGTCCAGTTGATTGGATTTCAGTACTATGTCATAACAGACAGATAATCATCTACTTGTTCATCAAGATGGAAAACTCAGATTCTAGCGATCAAGGAAATGACCAATCTGCAGCACAGCGCAGAAGGCACGTGGATCACTTAGATCCGGAAGAAGGTTTCCATCAATTTGTAAATAATCTGAGTGGAGAAGACTATAGACTTCTGAGAAACAACAATTTGCTAGGCACCGCAGGTCAAAGTACTGTGGAGGAGCTGTTCAGAAGACTACAGCAAATTGAAGAGGGGCCGCCTCGGCTGCCGCCACAGAGCTCAGAAGAAAATGGAGACTCTTCAGATGACGAGTCCAATGGTGACTTTGTAATAGATTGGCTTAGCTCTGTCAGACAGACTGGCAATACAACAAGAAGTGGTCAGAGTGGAAATCTGTCCGGGAGGGCAGTGAGCCACACTAATCCAAACAGTGGTGATTTCAGATTCAGTTTAGAGACAAATGTTAACCGTAATAATGGAAGCCAAACCTCAGAGAATGAAAATGAACCATCTGCTACACGTCTTAATGTAGAAAACATGGATCGCCTCCAAAGTCAAATGGAAAATTCAGCATCTGAGACATCATCTGCCAGAACACCTAGGTCAGAACACAGTTCTGCTGAAGCATTAACAGATGTGCCATCCACCAGAGGTCGGAGGAGGGCAAGAAGCTTGAAACCAGAACACCAGCGAAGAACCAGAGTCAGAGCTGAAAGAAGAAGGTCTTCTCTGCACCCAGCAAATGAAATTCCACGAAGATCTCATCATAGCATCTCATCTCGAACTTTTGAGCAGCCTTTGGCAAACGAGATAGAGGGTAGTTCCAGAGCCCATCACCATGTGACTTTGAGACACCAGATAACTGGACCTGAGTTGCTAGGTGGAGGTCGTTTTGTGGCTTCTGGGTCAAGAAATTCTGCCGCTCAAGGGACAAGCTCTTCAGACACAGATACCAATGGTGAAGCGGCAGGATCTGGTCAAAGACCTCCAACCAGAGACCTTCAAGTCAGAAGAGTTCTGCTGGCAGAAGACTGGCAGAGTGATTGCATAGCTAGCAGAACTCTGTCAAGGTCTCAGATCCCAAACAACACGGTCACTTATGAAAGTGAACCTGGAGGTTTTATAGGCACCTTTACACTTTCTGAACATGCAGCTGGGAGAACCTCTGTGAGTACTCACAGGTTTTCCACTCTTACAATCCACAATAGTGGATCAAGGGAAACTACATCTCTTCTGATTCAAACCAGGTTAAGGCAGAGTACAACAGCTTTTGGTGAGCTTCCATGGAGTGGAAGAAGGAGCTCTAGTGGTAACAACTCTGCTTCCGTCTCCAGCTTCAACCCTGGCTCCAGTTCCATTGGTGAATATTCAGAAAGTATCTCACAGATGTTTGAAGGAGGTATTGAAGCAACCCGACTTTACCCCTTTCATGACAGCCACCTATCTAGAGGACCCACCAATGTCCAGATTAATAACTTGGCAACGAGAAGTTTTGGTGAAAACAATGCATTGAAGACACGTATTATTTGCATTACTGAATATACAGAAGGTGACAAACTTCATGCGCTACCTTGCTCCCATGAGTACCACGTCCACTGCATCGACTGCTGGTTATCGGAGAATAACTCCTGTCCCATTTGTCGCAGGGTCGTCTCTTCTTCCTGGAACAGACATAGGGTTGTTTAATGAGAACAGAACTCTCGATGCTGTGTTGCTGGAATAGTGACCGGCAAATGGAAATCGCTTCCTTTATCTCACGGTGCTTAAATATAAAGTCACAACCTGAATTGCGTCATTGCTTTCTGAGGGAATCGTGTCTTTTCTCTAGTTTCTCTTTCAGGATAGAAAGAATATTTCAGATGTAACGTTTTAGGCCTTCAGTGTTTGATTTCAGTACCGGATAATTGCTAACCTGTTACTGATAATTACCCATGTACACTTGTCATTTTCCCTTTTTTACCAGAAGGTCTGCCTTAGCAGGGGCACCTTTATCATGTTGAGCTCTTTTTAGGTTTCCCAGGCCATAAGAGGGGCATGAAGAAAATTCCCACTCATAAGTTCTATTATGTGTTTAGTAAGGGATTAATTAAAACTATACCATTCCCAGTTATTGACACAATTCAGTCACATTTTCTGAGTATTGTTTGTTCACCTTCCAGATTAGGGGATGATGGATATACCGGTGTAAATAACACTAAACAGGTAGGATCTTCTAAGTGTATTAACTGTCCTAAGGCCATCACAGTGGCACACAATCGAGTGAACACAGAGTTTCATTGAGATATTTATCTTGTTGAAATATTAAAAAGCCTATGCTTGCGTAAGTGAAAAAAAATCACATTCGTTTGTTTCAAAAGGTAAAGTTATTTTGTAGAGGCTCAGTACTTTTCCAATGCACTATTGTATTAACGCACACAAAATTGTAAAGTACCGTGCTTAGAAATGAGAACTGCTTTTTTTGAGCTGGCATAGTAAAACAAACACACCAAACCAAGTGCCACGCTGCTTTTGTAAGTGTGTGGGTGATGAGAGCAGAACATATCTCTATTAAATGTGTTTGAGAACAGCTACTGTGACATGGAAAGAAAGGACCATGTAGAATCAAACTGCGGTAAAACCCAATGGAAATCAAGGATATTAACCTGGATTTAGGCAAGAAGTCATAGAGGGTAAGAACACTGTTCTGGAGAATGAAACATTTTCATGATGACAGTGGTATAGGCATGAACTGGTTTCCTACAGTGACAGCCACAGCAGCTTGACCCAGTATTCAACTTGAATAGATGAAGCAGAAGATCAACAAATTCAGCAGAGCTGTTTTTGGTTTAAAAAACAAACCGCTACCACCTAGCACAAGTTAAATTGATGTTTTTACAATCTGCTTCTCAAAAAGAGAAGGTGGAGGAAAGAGACTTCTAAACCAATTTTAAAGTAGGGATTTCAGTTGGTACAGATGGGTGTGCTTTTGGAAAAGTCTCGGATTTGCTTGTTTTCGAGATTTATCATCTGTGGTAATAGTGCACGCTTGTCAATATTTCATTGCTGTACCTAGCAGATCCAACATGCCACATTTAAAAGACTTATTCATATACTAAGATATTATCTTTTATTGATAGTGAGGCATGTTGGGTTATTTGAAATTCAAATTCTATTTGTGTTGTCCATATGTGAAGATGAGATGTCTTGCTCACATCTGTGGACATTCACTTTATTGTTCTTTTTTAGTGGTAAGACTAGAATGTGATAACCCCAGTACTCTTGCCTGGTTTTTCTTTTAAGACTGATTGGGGTTAAGATTAGCCTTGTTGGTTCCCCGGAGAAAGCTGCCAGGCCAGAAGAGAAGCTGGATTGAGCAGGCACATCCCTGGCCTTTCACCAAATGAGCTAACTACCCAGACTAGCCCGGGATTCTAGAAACTCTTTTACTCAAATATGCTTGCCCTGACTGGTACCACCTTAGCAATACAGATTATTTCAAAGTTCATTCTTACATGTTTTCCTCTGGCTAAGTGTCAAGGGAATGAAATTGTAAATTTGGTAGTTGTTTACAAAGAATATGTACTGCTCTTGCAAGGAAATAATGTCCAAACAAAGCTTCACCTATTTCTTTTTAATATAAGCAGATTTCACTATTTATGGCTCTTATGTAATACATTTTTTATCTTTTTAAAAGAATTATCCAGGTAAAAGTCAGGATTCCTTTATATTTGAGAGCCTCCTTGTCACCTTTCTATGGTTTTCAGATCTGTAGGATAATCCTGATTAATAAAAACAAATCCATTTTCCTCTTGGTTAAAATGTTCCATTTTAGGGGTGTTCATTTTCTTTAGCTCAAAAACAGCTGAAGCATATTCTAAACATGAAGTTGCTGACAACAGGTACCTCCCTGAACGCCCCAAACCTATGACTCGTTTGCAAGGTACTGAAGCCAGAGGTAACTCAAGCAGGATGCTGGTTATGAATGCAGATGTTGAAGCTCTTCGGAGACACTGGAAATCGATCGTCCCATTCCTAGGCTTCAGTAGAATGCACATGTTTTGACATGCATGTGTACCCTTTTGCATAGCACTCCTATCTCTTGGTTTCTCTAGGATGAATACAAGTATTTTTAGTGGGAGTTGCTTTTCCATTTTACCAAGTCCATGATTATTATATATTACTAGTGTTGCAGATGTTAAAGAAATGGGCGGTGGTGGCGAGGAGGAGGCAGAAATGTTAAATAAATGGATATATAAATAAATAAGTAAATAAATAAATAATAAGGTTGCTTGTATAGGTGTCAGGTGTACAATGAAGAATGAAAATTTTTTTCCTCACCAGCATCCAAACACCTATTCTTGCAAAAGACTTTACACTTCATTTTGTATCTTTGCACTTTTTCTTTATTACAGAAAGTTTCTGTCTTTAAGGCCTACTTTGAACTTCATGCAGTAATAATGTTGGAAATTACATTGTTCAAAGTATAGGGGGAAGTACTAAATCCTCATATTCCTTGTATATTTCAATTTACTGTTTTTTAATCTACTTACTAGTGTGAAGGTTTACAGTATTTTGTTTTTATTCCGTGCAGCTTACAATGTTGAGATTTATTAGTGCTGAAAACAAGTTGAACAAGTTAAAAAACTTCACACTATTTGCAGTACCACTGAAGAGAGCTGTGTTGGGAAATTGGAACATTTTCCCTGAAAAGAACATGTAGTTGCACCACTATGTTAATGGAGGTGGCACTGGGGAGAGGGAGGAGGCTCACACACTAGTGTTGGAGCAGGTGATCGTAGAACTGATAAGGAAATGTGCCAGGAGATATTCAGTCTTTAGGGACACGATTACCAGAATCATTCCAAGGTAGGAAAGTGCTTAGCTCTGTTACCTTAAGCAATGGGGTTTTTTTTCTTCTGGAAAAACTTTATTTCTGTGCCCAATATTTTCTGCTTTTGTTAATGTCTTATATTTATGAAGGGTTATCATTTACACATTTTGTATTTAACCACCTTCTTCTATGACCTTAAGACGGATCTCCAAATCCTCGTGATAAAGAGGTCAATGTTGCAAATGATTGTTAAAGGCCATTTCTAACTGTTTGCTAGAATGCAGTAGCCCCTTGAAGTTGACCTTGTTTTTTAAACAGATGAAGGAGATGTTTTGAATTCTTTTGTGAATGGAAATCATTTGTAATCTGCCTTAGTTGATTTTTTTTAAAAATGTTTTTCCTGACTGGCTTCCCTGTCACACTCTTACAAAAAGTATGCAGGACATGGAAGCCACGCTTGCGGAGCATTTAGAGTCTTAAGACGGTTCTGAATGTTGGTCTACAAAGTATTCTCTCTGAACGTTTGTAACAGGCAGAGAGCGCACATGTGAGGGTGTCTGCTTTTCCCCTTCAGTACAGTTCACTATGTTTATGATCAATATCAGTGTTGTAATTGTTACCTAGTAAATGGTTTTCAGAAAGCTGTTTTTAAATGTATATTGCTGTATCATGCTTCACTTGGCAAGTTCTGAGGAAAAAGTATTTCCCAGTCACAGTTTAAGCAAATAAAAACAGCTGTGACCTCAAAGAAAAACAGAAAATTTACCTCGATACTTAGATCCATTGTCAAAGGTAATATCATTTGTGTCAGAATAAGCTGTTTCCAGCAATGCCTGTATAGCAGTGTTGAGACAAACCAAGATTTATATTAAGAATTCCAGGAGGCCAAGCTGTTTCTGACTCATGGATACATCATGGAAAAACATTGTTCCTCTTTTCAGACCAAGCTGTTTAGTTACTCAGGAAGATTAATAAGACATGGGACCTTTGTTGCATGACTTCAATCCTTTTTCCATTTCCCACTTTAAGACTCTGTACTGTGTTTCTCTCAATGTTCTCTCAGCATTTTCGAAGGAACAAGTAGGCTGAGAGAATTCCTGGGGCAAAGCCATTAGAGCTGCTGCCTTCTTCCTACACTGACATTTATCTTTCCAGGAAGGCGTCCACATGATTGGTCCCCTGAGAATTCTTTTCTTTTAATTATTAATTTATTTATTAAAAATTTCCACCTCCTCTCATTTCCCTTCCACTCCCCCTCCCTCTCCAGTCCTAAGAGAAGTCAGGGTGCCCTGTCTAGTGGAAAGTCCAAGGCCCTCCCCACTCCATCCAGGTCTACTAAGGTATGCATCCAATCAGACCAGGTTCTCAAAATGCCAGTACATGCAGTAGCATCAAACCCAGTGCCATTATCATTGGCTTCTCAGTCAGCCCTCATTGTCAGCCACATTCAGAGAGTCCGGTCTGATCACATGCTCGTTCAGTCCCAGTCCAGCTGGCCTTCCTGAGCTCCCATTATATCAGTTGATGGACGCACCCCTCGTGGTCCTGACTTTCTTGCTCATGTTCTCCCTCCTTCTGCTCTTCATCTGGACCTTGGGAGCTCACTCCTGTGCTCCAATGAGGGTCTCTGTCTCTATCTCCATCCATCGCCAGATGGAAGTTCCATGGTGATAGGCAAGATATTCATCAGAGTGGCTACGGGAGAAGTCCAGTTCAGGCACCCTCACCTCTGCTGCCCAAGGACCTAGCTGGGGACATCTCCTTGGATACCTGGGAACCCCTCTAGAACCAAGTCCCTTGCCAATCCTAAAATGGCTCCCTTAATTAAGATATCTTCTTTCCTGCTCCCATATCCACCCTTCCTCAGTTTCAACCATCCCATTCGAGCAAGTTCTCCCCAAACCTCCCCTTCTCCCTTCTCTCTCCCCATCTCCCCTTTCCCCCACCCCACTCCCACCCCAGTGCTCCGAACTTTTGCCCAGTGATCTTGTCTACTTCCAATATCCAGGAAGAAAAATACAAGCTTTTCTTTGGGTTCATCTTTTTATTTAGCTTCTATAGGATCACAAATTATAGGCTCAATGTCTTTTGTTTATGGCTAGAATCAACTTATGAGAGAGTACATACCATATTCATCTTTTTGAGTCTCAGTTATCTCACTCAGTAAAGTGTTTTTTATTTCCATCCATTTGCATGCATATTTCAAGATGTCATTGTTTTTTATGGCTGAGTAGAACTCTAATGTGTACATGTATCACACCTTCTTTATCCATTCTTCTATTGAGGGGCACTTATGTTGTTTCCAGGTTCTGGCTATTATAAATAGTGTTACTATGAACATAGTTGAACAAATGCTTTTGTAGTAAGATTGGGCATCTCTTGGATATATTCCCAAGAGTGGAATTGCTGGATCCTGAGGTAGGTTGACTCCTAGTTTCCTGAGAATCCAACTACACTGATTTTCAAAGTGGTTGCACAAGTTTGCATTCCCACCAGCAACGGATGAGTGTTTCTGTTACTCCACATCCTCTCCAGCATAGGTTATCATTGGTATTTTTTTTATTTTAGCCATTCTTACAGGTGTAAGATGGTATCTCAAAGTTGTTTTGACTTACATTTCCCTGATTGCTAAGGAAGTTGAACATGACCTTAAGTATCTTTTGGCCATTTGAACGTCTTCTGTTGAGGATTCTCCATTCAGTTCATTACACCATTTTTAATTGGGTTATTCAGAATTTTAATGTCTAGTTTCTTGAGTTCTTTATATATTTTGGAGATCAGACCTTTGCCTGATGTGGGGTTGGTGAAAATCTTCTTCCATTCAGTAGGTTGCCTTTTTGTCTTAATGACAGTGTCCTTTGCTTTACAGAAGCTTCTCAGTTACAGGAGGTCCCATTTATTCATTGTTGCTCTTTTATTTCTGTGCTACTGGGATTATACGCAGGAAGTGGTCTCCTGTGTCCATGTGTTGCAGACTACTTCTCACTTTCCCTTCTGTCAGGTTCATTATGGTCAGATTAATATTGAGATCTTTAATCCATTTCGACTTGAGTATTGTGCATGGTGATAGATATTTTCATTCTTCTACAGGTTGATATCCAGTTATGACAGCACCATTTGTTAAAGATACCTTCTTTCTTCCATTGTAAAATTTTAGCTCCTTTGTCGAAAACCAGGTGTTCATAGCTGTGTGGGTTAATATATGGGTCTTTCATTCAATTCCATTAGTCAATTTCTCTGCTTTTATGCCAATACCAAGCTATTTTCATTACTGTAGCTCTGTAATAGACTTTGAAGTCAGGGATGGTAATGCCTCCAGAAGTTCCTTTATTGTATAAGATTGTTTTGGCTATTCTGGGTTTTTGTTTTTCCATATAAAGTTGATTATTGTTCTCTCAAGGTCTGTGAACAATTTTTTGGGATTTTGATGGAAATTGCATTTAATCTACAGATTGCTTTTGATAGAATTGCCCTTTTTACTGTGTTGATCCTACCAATCCAAGAGCATGGGAGAGCCTTCCATTTTCTGGTATCCTCTTCAATTTTTTTTTCTTCAAAGACTTAAAGTTCTTGTCAAGTAGATCTTTCACTTCCTTGGTTAGAGTTACCCCAAAATAATTAATGCTATTTTTGTCTATCCTGAAAGGTGATGTTTCTTTATTCTTTGTGTATAGGTGGGCTACTAATTTTTTGGAGTTGAAGTTGTATCCAGCTACATTTCTAATGGTATTTGTCAGCTATAGAAGTTCTTTGGTAGAGTTTTTGGGGTCACCTAAGTACACTATCATATCACCTGAAAATAACGAAAGTTTGATTCCTTCCTTTCCAAATAGAAACCCCTTGATCTCCTTATGTTGTCTTATTGCTATTGCTAGATCATCAAACACTATATTGAAGAGGTATGGAGAGAGTGGACAGACTTGTCTTGCTCCTC